GGTCCAGAGGCTTGGTCATCATATCACTTGCCCACTTCTTTCGTCTGACTATGTTGGCAGGTCTTAATAAGGGCTTCCGTTTAGCTGCTATGCAACGATAACCCAATCTGTGGAGAATCCGTTGAACAGATTTCGGGCTCATCCCACCAGCTTTGGCCACTTCTGCAGTCTTTAATCTGGGATCCATTTCGATGCTCCTCTTGACAACCCTTTTTGTCTTCTTCGATGGACCAGGACGACCCGGACGCTGCTCAGTTGTTTCCTTGCCTTGTTTCCTGAACTGCACGATGATTCTGTTGACTGTCGAAAGCGGGATTCCCAAATTCTGCGAAATTTGCCGCTGACATAAATCAGTTAAATGACGAAAAAGTAGGTGTCTATTTACTTGTGACCACTAAGTGTATATAGATTAATAATATTTAAAAATAACTTATTAAACTTAATTTTCTTAAAACATAGAAGCAAACAATTATCTCTTCTAGTTTCGACCTTTGTACTCAGTTGCTGCTTGACATAGGTTTCTAAGCCTTTTATAATTTCACACGTAGAGGATATGAAATAAAATAATTTCTTAGGTTTTATATATATACAGTTGAATAACCAAAAAAATCATAAATTACTATATCGATACCATATAATTCCACTATAATTTATCAAGCTAAGTAACTAAGGCGTATTTCGGCCAGCTGGTTAGGATGCTTGACTCCCAATCTGAGGGTCGCGGTTTCGAATCCCCGTCCCACCAAACATGCTCGCTTTTCAGCCTTGGGGGCGTTATAAGTGACGGTCAGTCCCGCTAATAGAGTATTCCAAGAGTGGGTGGTGATGACAAGCTTCCTTATCTCTAGTATTACAATGTTAAATTAGGTACGGCTAGTGCAGATAGCCCTCGTGTAGCTTTGCACGAAATTCCAAACAAAGCTGTATTTTGGTCTAAAAATATGAAATTTGGAGCAGACTAAATACACAACCTACCTGCTTGAAATTTTGGTTCGAAAGAATGAGAGAGCCTCCCACCATTTTATAATGGCTGAGAAAACTACTAAAGGGACATTCTGAGATGTCAATTGGTTATTCACATGTCATATATTGAAGAAAGTGCATATAAGGGACCATTTCCAAAAATCACAAACATTTAACTTGAACATACCATGTGACGCACAAAAATCGAGGTTTAACTGTGTTTTTTTTAAATATTTACTTCTAAATTAAGAAATTGAATAATGTATAATACTAAAATTTGAATTATAATGTTAACTGATAATCTGACAAATTTCGTTAACATACGCTTACTAATTTAATAGTTATAGCATGAAACTAGCCCCAGTTGAAAGGGATAATATTGAAATGTGAGAAAAACAATATAGGTTTTTTTTTTGGTAGTAATTTGTTTGTTTGAAGTTAAGCACAAAGCTACACAATAGGTTATCTGTGCTCTGCCCACCACGGGTATCGAAACCCGGTTTCCGCAGACATACCGCTGTACCATTGGGGTAGAAATATATTCCTTAATGTCAGACATATTCGCTTGTATTTATACGTTTTATCATTCAGCAAAACACGTTTTTTGTAATAACAAAATAAAAATATAGAAAACAAGTTAAGAAAATATTATCAAAAGGGAAATTGGTGTCAGAAAAACCCACTAGTAGGTGAGCATGGAACTAGAAATGCGAAATAAATGTGGAAACGCACAGAAGGTAGACATACAGGAGTATTAAACAATGGGTAACTGTAACTAAATGGTCAACTTACAATTAGCACAAAATATCATTACAGAAAAGCGAATAAGTTGCATAATACACTAGTATTTTTTATTTACTTTAAACAGAGCAGAGCACTTTGGTTTTATGCTATATATGTTTAATAATGAATGACTGCAAAATAGTATTCCAATTGCCCAGTTTTTCTCCCCACAATTCAACCAAGTTGTTTGATTGTCGTTTGGTCTTGTCAGTTTCCATATAAGCCTATAGAGCTTTAATAATATTCATATGAGAATATGAGCAGGCCAAGCCATAGTTGTTTGTGTTCTAGTGGCCTGTTTCACCTCCCACGTATTAGTTCAGTAGATAAGTTACATGCTTGGGGTTACTGTCTTTATGGAAGATAAATTCCTGCCCAACATGTCTTGTTTTTCAGGGAATGACACAAAGGATGGGAATTCATTTGTACTTGTCACCAATCAGGGTGCCATCAATTTTGTGTATATCTTCAACACAAGTGACTGAGATACAGCCTACAGTTTTATGTCTTCACTGTAGATGTTTTCTCCAGCTTTCCTTATCCCACTGTTTGAAATCTGATGCCCATTGCAGCCATTTAGTTTGGTTTTGGACCAGTTAAACATCCAATGAGGTCATCGTGCTAATATGTATCTTACTGTTCTGGAGGTAACATTCACACCTGTACCTATAAGTGTGAATGCATTTCACATCAGTCGTAAAGAGTTTGGTTTTTCTACCTTGACTGCTTATAATATCAACAATACTAGTTACCCTCTTCAGATTTTTTCTGCTGAAATAAAATTTCGCATCAATCTGTCACATGGAATATCCTTCGCTAACACAAAAACTGATTTCTACGCGTTTTTCCTGTGGCATTTCTGTCCTGGAAGCCACGAGTACATTCATCATACTACTGGTAAAAATAATATTATATTACTGTCTGTATGTTTATAGGCATTATGCTGGTGCGGCACTATCTGATTGGTTGGATGATATCCACTCACAGTTTAAGCTATCAATGTATTCGGTACAGTTAACTTTTGTTCAGCAGGGAGGAAAATCTAAAAATTTGTGCTTAATACTTATTTCATTCACTGTTTCCATAATGATTTCCAATACTGTAAAAAACAGGGATAAACTGTGAAAAAACGTGATACTTAAAATTCAAGGGCACTATAACTTGATTAGATTTTTACAAACTCTTTACAACAACTAGGAAATAAACTATTCAATTCTTAAAAGGTTAAACAAAATGGAATTTGAGTGCTTGCACTGATATGATGAGTATTCAATTAGATTGTGATGTTGTATTTTTGACATCAGTTTTTTTCTTTTTCATTGATTCTAATGTTTAACCGTGTGACGGATTTACTATTATATATATGTTTAATATCGATATTTGTTATAGTTGAATTTATATTTAGAAAGTACATAACTTATACTGTTAAATATGTATTGCAAAATTCCCGCTTATTCTCTAAAATTGTAGAAGATTCTCGAGTGTAAGAATCAACAATATACATGTGTACGTAAGCGCTAATGTAGCGTTTGTATTGTTGTGTAAATGAAATTTCGAGAAACTCTCTACACGCCTATAAGTATAACCAACGCGACTCGCCTAAAAACAGTATCTATTATTGGTTTGCTATTGTTGGTATCCTATAAACCTCGGAAGATATAATTATGATTAACGCTTATTAATCGGAAAAACCTCAGATATTTGCCCACGAACATTTATAAATTTCGAACATTATAAACCATTTAACTTCAGTGGATTCACATCGAACATTAGTACTTTTACGAAAACATTAACCAACTTCATCGGTGGAAAAAAATCGGTGTGTGATCAGTGAAGACCTATTAAGTGAATTGCACCTGCATCAACTCGCTCATCATGAACACTCGATAAGACACCAAGGAAGTTCCAGACCAGAAAGAAAACTCGATATTGTTGGTAAGTTTGTAAAACTTTTGTATATAAATCATTGTTTGTAATAACCGTTATTGTAAATTGTATTAATGTTTATATATTAAAATATATTTGTATTAAAAAAGAAAACCGTGTGTATCAATCTTGTTGGCAAATGTCGTAAATTGGAGATATATCGCCATTTATTTAACTACTAAATCCAAAGTACAATTTAACTCAGTTTAAGCTATTTGAAATTGTAATACGTAACAACCGGAATATGTGCAAATTGCCAGAACTTCTTTGATAATTCCTTTTTATCATTTGCTAACATGATTTACATTAATGGTAGGAATAAAAAATACAAAACACGAGTTTATATTAAAATTATAAATAATAGTCAACGTTAAACTGGTACACAATTAAAAACATTTTATTTAGGCCTATCTGTGGCCTTCAAAAAGTTGACGACTCTACATGTTTCCACGTTACAACATCATCCTCAGGCCATAGATGTTTTAATTGTGTTCCAGTTGAATGTTGAATATTATTTATGATTTTAACTTTATACACAAGTGCCAAAATACTATAACGCGTTTATATCTTTAAGCAATGGTAGTAGACCTATAAAACTAGCGAACCTTTTAATTCTTGATTTTTCTGTCCCTATCATCTGTTAAACTGCAGCGACTGCTAAGGACAAACTTTTAGCAACTAAAACTATCGCAAACAAGGCCCATCTTCGGGCCTTATCTCATGATCGATTTTTCGCACGCCAAGAGAACTCCCTAACTATTAACCATTTATACGTAGTCTCACTACTTACGAGTCAATTTTTTAGATCTTAGATCGACTTTTATTTTACGTCACAGAATCGAAGCTGATACTTCTTCCATACCAAGCAAGTTCTCTATCACCTGAGCTAGAGTTAACCCACTTGGAACTGCCGGTAAAGCACGTGTTAATAATTCAAATGGCTACATTTGGAACCCAAATTCACTAATTCCTGTTACTGCAGTAATTTCACTTAGACATTCTATCAACTTTCCTATTTAATATACAATTAAAAGACATCTGTTATAATACTTGAACTTTTTTATAACATAATCTGTATCCAAGTAATTGGATTTTATCTTTTTTACTTACTTTTGTAATACTGTTTAATAATTTCACGTACGAAAATATTTCAGAGTTCAGCCATTTTGTGTATAAAAGGCTCTTTAAAAATGTCAGGTTACTTATATTAAATAAGTTTAATATAAGTTTATTTACTTTAAAACTGTTAGATGGAGCGGCGTAAATCCTTCTGACGTCATATTTTCGATTTCACATCCCAGGTTAAGAAGAATCTAGCAGTCAAAGAAAAGCAAAGAACATTTAATGTAAGTGGGAAAAATACTTATATCTTAATAATTACCGTTGTAGTGATGCTCTAAAACAAAGTAGATAAAGATATTTAGTACACAAACATCCTTGAATAATTTCAGATCAATGAGGAAAACACCAACGACTTTATTTCGTCTCAGAGCTAAAATTACATACAAACATTTGTATATACCAGTTATCAGAAACTTTTTAGTTAGTACACTTACAGTAGAATTCAAAATGACTGATTATATGCAAATTCCGTTTCTTGATAAATTATAATTAAAAACAAAAATTACTAATAACCTTCAGCATGAAATACATTTAAATTTGAAAAATCTTTCACAAGAAATAGCAAATATAATATAATTTCTTTATGGGCGTACTACACGTGCCGATTCGTTACGCATGTCAACTTTTTCGTCATAACAGATATCGCATCAGAGATCCTATGAATAGCACTTTAGGTCTTGTGTCTATCCCAAGTTAAAAGCTAATGGGTTCTATTTTTAAAAGGAAGTATTTCTGGCGAAATACTTATAAAAGACAAGAACAGAGACCTGAAATATTATTTTTACTACCGTTAAAACAGTAACGAACTAATAATAAAAGAATGATTAAAAAGATCAACAAACAAAGTTGATGCAAGTTGTGTCATGTAACGAATTTGGTATTATATATTTATTTTAATATCGACGTTGTTTAGATTAAGTTTATATTTAAAAACATGCACAGCTTATAGTGTTAGATATGTATTGCGAAACTCCCGACTATTCTCCAAAGTTGTGGAAGATTTTCGAGAGTAAGAATCAACAATATATGTGTGTATGTAAACGCTTTAATTTGCTTTGTTGCGTAATCTGAATTTTCTAGAAAATCTTCCCGTGCTTATAAAGATAACCAACGCGATGCGCCAATAGTGTGTCTATTAGTAGTTCCCTATAGTCGGTGTGCTATAAACTTCGAAAGCTATAATTGTGATTTTTATAACGCTCATCAATCGGAAAACTTAAGATATTTGACCAGGAACATTTATAAATTTCGAACATTACAAATAGTTTAGCTTCAGTGGATTCTCATCAGACATTAGTATTTTTATATAAATTCATCGTGGAGAGTTCAGAGTGTGTGGCAAAGTACAAAGCTAGCTAGCTTCCCGGCGAATCTTATCTACATCAGTTCGTAATTAACTCGCTCATCGTAAACCCCCGATAAGATATCAAGGAAGTTCCAGACTAGAAAAAAAAACTTTATATTGTTTGTAGGTTTGTGAAACTTTTGTTTATAAATCATTGTTTGTAATAACTATTTGTAATAATTGTTATTGTAAATTGTACAGTTGTGTGTATATTAAAACGTATTTATGTTAAAAACGAAGACGGTGTGTATCAATCTTGTTGGCAAATTTCGTAAATTGACTAAAATATCAGCATATATTTAAATACTAAATCCAAAGTACAATTTAACTACTAAACTTAAATTATCAGTTAACTCAATATCAGACCATTTGAAATTCCAATACCTAACAGTCACAATAGCTCTAATACTGGTTTCAGTTCTGGCGTTAAAACAGTAACGGACTAATAATAAAAGAATGATTGAAAAGTCCAGCAAATAAAATTGATGTGAGTTGTGTCACAATAACTCTAAAACTGGAGTTCTCAGCATAGGTTTTACCCCGTAATGTTAACTTGTCTGCGCTGCTTATAAACACCATTTTACAAACTTGTGTATACTTTAAGCCAAGAATTACCGGTTAAGTCAATGTAGGCTTTATTGGCTTTTTCGGCACATTTATTCACCAAATTGCTTGTGGATCCACGGATTTATTGGTTACATAAGGCCCCTAGTAACGAACGAGTAACAAACACAAAACACCCATCATTCCATCAATTAATCCTGGGGTCTCTTATGTATTTATATATATAAAAAAAGAGTGATTTCAAAATTTTCCGGCCAGTTCTTTACAACAAAGTGGTGCAAAAGACATAAACATAAAAGTATTCAGTATGATGCACAATATGGACCATGTCGGTGATGAGTGGTATAAAAACAAGTCGACAATTTTAAGGTAAAGCTGCATTTAGTTCAGCCTAGTTAATTAAATCTGGCATTAAGCAAAATGCATTCCGGACAGCGACTTTAGCAGACTAAAGTTATTTTTCGATTATTTATTTGCAAAAAGTTAGCGAAGCATTAGAAACCAATAGGCTTAGAATATTTTTCCTTTCATCGTCCAGCCCTACTAAGAGTTCTGGTATTGGACAGTGATTTGTGAGAGACAAAACATTGATCTGAAATGTGTTGTTTTTTTTCCACATTCCTCTTAATGTTTCTTTTGCGGATTCAGAATCAGAGGCGTGTAAAAACAGCATCTGCAGTTACCGTGACTCAAAAAAACAACCTTGTTGTTTGTTTGAAGTTCTAAAAAATCTTCGTTCGCTAAGGAAGTATTATCAGCACTAGAAAAAGTTCGATCCGCGATTAGTCCTAAAATATTTTGAAGCTCTCTAGCTTAAATCCACTTACACAATCACGTTTTACATTTTCATTTCGTTCTTTTCTGCTTATTTTACTCTCTCTTTTTTCAAGAAACAAAATTAAAATCAAACATCTTGATCAACGGTAAGGCCAACTTTTTAAAACTAGCGAATTACTATTACTGTAAATTTCGTAAACATAATTTTTCGGACATGAAAATGCAGATTGGAACAGAAACTATACTTTAGAAATTAAGCGCAGTAAACTTTAAACTACTAACCTCTATACAACTTGCATGTCCGTTCATAGCAGCCAAATGTATTGCTGTATACCCACTGGGATCCAACGCTGCCAGGTGAGCGCCCTCTTGTGCTAAAAACTTAAATCACAATATTAGAATCAATATGCTTCTATACTTTCTTTTATATAAATATAATACTTATATAACAAACAAGACAACCAGTGCTAATAAGTGTTATTTATGATTGCTGTTGTTTCCACGATTGGTTGTATGATACATAGCTTGGACTGTGTTTAAGAAAGGATTTCTTCGATTATTTTTTTATTTTAGTTCTAATATATGTAAGACGCTTGACGATGAGTAGCACTATTAGTTTCAACTAGTCGGTTATATGACATTGATTTGTTCTATGTGACGAATAAATCAGCTTGTATAAGTATTACTGCTGGATGTTTAATTGTTTGAACAACTTATCTTACTCGACATGAGTACATATAACTTTAATCCAAGTAATTCTCGAAATCAGAAAATTTACAGCCAACTGTGCGATCTTTTGGTATCATAGCAATAAATGAATGAATAAGAGTGGAATGAGACACATGTCAGTATAGCATATGAAAAGAAAGCATATGTTATTTATGAAATGAGACGCATGATGATATTGTACATGAAGTGGCAGGTAATGTTACCTATGAAATGGGACACACATAGAGGAAACCGTATACGTGAAATGAGACACACGTAGAGAAAACCGTATACATGAAATGGGACACACGTAGAGAAAACCGTATACATGAAATGAGACACACGTAGAGGAAACAGTATACATGAAATGAGACACACGTAGAGGAAACCGTATACGTGAAATGAGACACACGTAGAGGAAACCGTATACATGAAATGAGACACACATAGAGGAAACCGTATACATGAAATAGGACACACGTGGAGAAAATCGTATACGTGAAATGAGACACACGCAGAGGAAACCGTATACATGAAATGGGACACACGTAGAGGAAACTGTATACATGAAATGAGACACACGTAGAGGAAACCGTATACATGAAATGAGACACACGTAGAGGAAACCGTATACATGAAATGGGACACACGTAGAGGAAACTATATACATGAAATGGGACACACGTAGAGGAAACCGTATACATGAAATGGGACACACGTAGAGGAAACTATATACATGAAATGGGACACACGTAGAGGAAACCGTATACATGAAATGAGATACACGTAGAGGAAACCGTATACATGAAATGAGACACACGTAGAGGAAACCGTATGCATGAAATGGGACACACGTATAAGAAACTGTGTACATGAAATGGGACACATGCTCATATAGTATATGAAGGAAAATAAAACAGTAATATTTCTGTCCTAAATGCTTAAAAAATCTAAGTTGCTTACTTACCTTAATAATGTCAACATGTCCGTTGGCTGCTGCAAGGTGAATTGGTGTCCATCCTCGTTCATCCACAGTTCTATGCAACAGAAATATCATAATGTTTCATCATGGTTGTATGAACAAATAAAGAAAAATAAATTATCCCTTTCTCAAATTATGAGAATGCAAACATTTATTTTTTTTTGTGTTGGAAAAAAGAAAAATCGCTAACGATAGCCTAACTGGACTAATGAGTATAATCACATGTTAAACTAAGAAGCGACTCAGAAATACAAAGCTTTCAGCTAAAAATACTTGTGTGTTTTTCCACATTTGTTGATAAATTCAAATTATAAATAATTACATAGACACACAAAACAGATAATTCTGTTCTTTCTGCACCCTTTTACGTTATTTTTCCCTTACGCTTCAGATTATATATTCACGAAGGAAAACAAACGAGGCACTTATTTTTTGCTTGAATTGAATAATTATTACAATGATTCTTTGATAAGGTGCGTAAAAATAAATAACGAGTCACAACATCACAAACATACATGTATGGATGATTTTTACAATCTAGGGTAACAATTTGAATATCTAATCATCTTGCTCCTGGTAATTTTCATTGCCCGTGATTATACAAGTTAAAAGCCTGGAACCTCTTGTTGTATTTCATTTCAGCTGTGAGATGATTTTCCGACGCAAAATTACAAACTCATGTAAAGCATGCATTTTAACGTTTCTAAAACAAAAGAGATATCTGCAATGTTGAACCGCATTAATAAAAGAAAGGAAAGCATGATCCCAGTAAGAGAAAAATAGGTTACTCCACGATTGATTACCGGTAGCACACCGGATGTAATGAAAAAATTAAGCAGTTTATTACTGAAGGTAATTCAACAACACAGCGGTTCAGTTAAAGTAAGAAACTCCTTTGGAACAGTAGACAAAATAATTCACATAGTGTTAGGTTTACAGAAATGACACAAGAAGTGTATTCACAGTCTTCTTCCAAAGAACATATCTGAAAGAAAGTTTGTTTGTTTGTTTTTG